AAAAAAAAAAGAAAAAAAAGAAAAAAGAGAAAAAATACGAAGGGAAAAAACAGGTGGAAAAAGAAGAAGAAAAAGAAGAAGGGAAAAGGGACAGGTATAAGGTGTGTTTTATACGTTACGAGGGAAATGTGCGTGTGGAGAACGTCTCCCCTCGACGAGAACAACAAGAGTGGCTCTTGAGCTGGACGAGCGCACAGAAAAAAAAAAAAAAACGTTTTCGAACGCGTTTATAAGAAGATTAAAATATTAATGTTATTAGGAAAAGAGATAATACGCGGCACACTGTGTTCGTTACGCGAATTTTCGTTTCCGCTTCGGATCGCGTGCGAGGGGATGGAAGAGATAGCGTGGAAAATATTTTACGAATATTTTAGAAACGATATCGACACACTATCGAATAGATTGTCAAACAACAAATTTTTTTAATCGTACGAGAAATCGTTCCGAATACACACGCTGCTCCACTTATCTCGCTATCTTCTCCTATTCGCGAACTGATTCTTACTTCGTTTCCTGCTGATAGAGGGAAAAAACATATTTACTATTTTCGGAGCTGTGATTATAATAACGTCGCAAGTTTATTAAGTACAATCACGTGGTGGCGTATTATGGCGTGAAGTTATAATTAATTCATTGACCCTCGTAGAAAATGTATTTATACCCCGAAGGGAAAAGACTCTTAAAGAGATTCATTCATAATGAATTGTTTTGTTTTCGAGGGAAATATGTTTTGTTGAAATTGGCCATTTATCCCCTCCGATTCACTTCCCTCTCCACTCTTGTATTATTAACATTAAATAGTACCACGTATCAACCACCATCTCGTGATTGTACCTGGCGATATAACTTTCTAAAAGACAAGTGAAGAGAAGAGAGAGAGAAAAAAACCAGGTCGATCAAGTGGATGAAGGTTATTCGAGGACAAAAAATTTCACCGCACCCCCCCGAATTACGCTGGACGAGCTTGAGGGGCCATCAACAGAGACCACGAAGCAAACGTCCGGATGGTCTGCATGGAAGAAGAACGCAAAGTGATCTTATCTGCTTTAACGTCCGTAGGTTACATAAGATATTATATTGTTAGCGTATATCAAGTGTATGGGGTACAAAGGTCGTACCTATGAAAGAGGGAGAAAAAAAATTTTTTTTTTTTATAAAACGGTCTACGCACGATGGTGAACACGTGTACGTGTGTATGTGTATGTGTGTGAGTGTGAGTGTGAGCGTACGATGGTCCAACCATGATAAATATTGATTTTATCGAAAATTATTGCCGACGAAAATGATGCAGCTCAAAGGGGATGCGACCCTGTAACTTCGTCTTGTTTAGAAGGGATGGTACAGGGAAGTAATCTGTTTTTCTTAAATGAGAGGGAATTTATTTTTCACGATAAAAAAAAAACACGAGATATATTTGATAAAAAAGTTCGAAACGATCTTGATCTAACGTAACTTCGTGCAAAAACGAGTTTTTTGATGTACGTAGTAGTTCTCTTCTTTTTTTTTTCCTTTTTTTATTTATTTATTTATTTATTTTTTCTTCTTAGATATTTGAAGACATTGGCGTCAGAGAAACTGCTTTCAGATGTGTTCAGAAATTCTTCGAAGTGTTCCGGAAAGTATCCAGAAAGTGTTCCGTCATCTTCTCTTTTTCGATCGAGGAAGAGATGTTAGAAATTTTTCTCGTTAGAGACAAAATAAATTTTTACGAGAAAACGCCAATAATCGTGGCGACAAATGTTTCAAACGTAGTTTCGAAGATTTGCGAATAACGAAATCAAAATTTTAAATACGTTGTTGAAAATTTTTGATTATGGAAATAAATATGTTTCCTTTGAATTGTATTATTTTCGATTCAATATTATTAGAGAATTGATATTTGTAAGATCGTATAATTGGGCCAATTCATACACCCAATGGAAACCATCGCCAGATAGGATTATTTCAACAAAAGTACGATTTGAGAACGAAATTTGTAACGAGACTGAATGAAAAGACACTTGAAACAGGAAGTCGTAAGTTATCTTACAGAAAACCTTCAACATTTCTGTATACTCCATTCCCAAACTTCCGTTTCTCAACCTTTATGCTACGACGTTTTATTATGATTGAACGCATGCATATCCATTCACTGCGAAATTCAATTTAATCCTCGTGCCATTAAAATTTAACGTTCTTCATTGGAAGGATCAACAATGCTATATTTATTATATATCTATATATACGCCATAAATAACATAAAAAATACAAAATGAAGAATAAAAAATTCTTTTTTCTAAATTAGAAAAAAATGACTACGCAGCAGAAAGGATAAAGCACCATAGTGTTCCTTGAAATATTTAAAATTAGAGATACCAAAATACTCTCCAATAATTTATAAAAATTCATAGATGAAAAAATATTCTTAGCCACTAATCCTTTCCTCGGCTAAAATTTCTTATAAAATTGAAGCTCCTGAAACATAAGTAAAAAAAAAAAGAAAAAAAAGAAAAAAAATGAATTACACGAGTATATAATAAAGTTTAAAACACCATAGTGTTCCTCGAAATATTTTGTATTAAAGTATCTGAATAACCATCACTCCTATAAAACCTATAAAAAAAATCTAATCCTCTTCAATCAACTAATGCATATGAATCATTTAGAGTAAGGATGAACTCAACAAAAATATATTTATAAAGAAGAAAAAAGCCAAAAACAATTTTTGTTCCCAATAAAAAATCTTAATTTATAATTAAAAAAAAAAAAGGACAAACAAAATTTATTATGGATATAGTAACGTAGTGTAAAATAAAAAATTGTTGACAAAACGTTGAATTCACTCTTAATATTTCCCTTACTCTCCTCGCGCATCCCACATTCTAATTTACCACTTCCTGTTCAAGTGACAATTTTCACCGATGGCGGAAGGCGCAGACGCCCTTCTTCGCGTGTATTCATTGCGCGTGACCGTGAAAATTGTGCGGGTTCGAACGGAAATTCACGCCATCTCGATCTTATCATGGTCAATCCATCGAGGGGTGGCCGAATTTCCGATCGCGTGACGTTCGACCAAGTCGGTCAAGTTTGCGAATGCGATCACAACGATATCTCGAATATTATAACGAAAACGGACGCATTGCGTTCGCGAATCGAGTTAATTACGTTAATTAAGGCTAAACGTTGACGTTGAATACGTGATCGGGGGGTTAAAAAACGAGGGAAGACACGTTAACGAGCTGCATCGTTGAAATTAATCGCGTCACGCGACTGTGGCCGATTCATTTCTTCGATTTTATCAGCTGTATATATTATATGTGTATAAATATATTATACACACGCACACACATGAACATGTATACAGAGGAACGGTAATATCATTCGGTCGTAGCGATGGAATCATGGAATATTCGAATGTTTCGTGCAATGAATTCTTTTTGTTGCGGAGAATAGAATTGTTGCAATATTTAATACAAAAATATTTGCAATATTTAGGATAATAATATAACAGATATAAGAAATTTGTTACTCTTAATCCTCTGTAAAACCATGTTACATTGAAATCATATTGATATATTTTTTAAGTCTTGTTTGACAGTTGTACTTCTTTCCATTTAATTAATATAGTTTATTTTATTAATATAATTTATCACAGAATATTGGTCAAAATTTGTTTCGAAAGAAATTATTTCTTCGCTACTTCTATTATTGAAAAATTAATGAAAAATCCATCGCTACGAAGACACGAATACGAAACAAGAATACGAATATACCTACAAAAGGAAAAAACATAAGACACGTGTCGTTATTATTATATTATGGATATTTCGTGGCGCATTGTTTCGTAATATACTGTTGATTTCGCGCGATTATCGGCGATATTATTACATTGTCCGAGGCACTCCGTGTCCAGAGATCCGTTCTATCCAATGTGATCAATCCCGAAGATGTTCAAGGCTTCGAGAAACAGTGCGACGATGTTGTACACGTGCCGAGGAGAAACGAGTGAAAAGGATAAAAGAGAAGAAGACTAATAGCGATAAGATCAATCGATTCGCAGGGGGAAAAAATTACGAGGAAACTTTGAAGATATTTTTGGGGGTGGACCAACGAACTGGAAAGAATGAAGGAAGAAAGAAAGAAAGAAAAGGACCGCTTGGCTAATCTTGGCCGTTGTTTCAAGAAAAAGAAGAAAA